ATCTAGTGGTTGTTCTAGGCGCAGGGCCAGTAGATAAAGGACGAGATTAGCAAGGATGGGCAAGGTGAGCCACAGGGATTTCTCATCCCCAGCTTCTCTTAGGGTGACCCCTAGATCTTCGGCTGAACCTGGCGGCTGTGCCTGGCTTAGGTCGCCCCTCCCTTGAGGGGTCTTACCCGTCATTGACTAACCAGCCATCTTATGGGGGTTGAGCAGCAATCACAGGAACAATGTGTTTATCGTGTGGCCTCCAGAACCCCAATGCTGTGGGGCGGGTTAGGTTGCTTACACAACTCAGGTCCTCTGTTTATGCCTCTAGGCACATCTTGTCTATCACAAGGACCTTGTCGAACAGATTACTTTCAAACATCTGGGCAGAACACGTTACATTACTCACTAACTTTAATTCTTAAACTAGAAAAATTATGTCAGTCCCTACAGGATGTCCCTTTAGACCATGACGTCAGGCAAGATTAGGACGTCAACAATTCCAAAGGTGGGTGACTCCGTGGCAAGGGGGGCCTGTGCCCTGCCTAGCTGCGCGACCTGGCAGCCCTCGACTGCACGGCTTCCGCCGAGACCAATCTGAGTCAGGGGACGTCTGCTTCCCTAAGGCTATTCCGGAATTTATGGCCATTGCTGCAGTGCCTGGGCGGTTACGTACAAGGAATTAACTTTAATCTTTTAGAGTATAAAAATAAAGCAGACCCGGTGTGTTATTACCCAAGTCAACTGTCTGTCCACGTTTTTCTTTGTGTTCTGCTCTGTGTTCATCCTCCATCCTGTAAACGAGCCACGACACACCCACTGTCTTATGAACTTTGTTGTCGACGATGTCGTTATTTAATGAATGGACTTTAATTTTTAGAGCAGTTGTAGTTTACAGAAAGATTGAGTGGAAAGTACAGAAATTCTCAGGCCCTCCCCCCCTCCCCCCACCCCCACACACACAGTGCAGGTTCCCCTGTTGCTGGCATCACCCGTTATCATTGATCCGCCCATATCGATGCAATGTTACTAGTATCAAGTGGAGCCCATGGGCTACATCGGGGTTATGCTATGAACGCTTATTTCCCTGGTGACTCGGGCAAGGAAGATTTCTCCGGGCACTTGCTGCCTCTGCAGACCACACAGGACAGGCCACGGGCAGGAGCCGGGTAAACGCCCCGCCTGGGTTCGCCGCCGGCCGTGTGTGCCGTGGCGAGGGGCTTGACTCCCTGTGTCCCCATCTGCTCCTCTGTGACACCAGCCGACGGCGCCGCTGACCCGTGGGCTCGGCTAGGATCCCATGGCTGGTCTGAGTCGAGAGCCGGGAGCAGCGGCAGCGGCATGGTCACGCTCATTGTCTCTGAAAACACGAGTGTCAAAGCTGCGGCGGAACACGCGTGGTGGGCGGGGGACAGCTTCCCTGCACCCCCACCCGGCTAGGTCCTCAAGGCTTGGACAGCACGAGAGGCACCACGCGGAACAGCCCTGCCCTGGGGGGGGGGAGGGGACATGCAACTGGCATTTGTGCCAGTGACAATCTCAGTGACAACGCGGGGGAGGGGAGCAGAGGGTGGGAGGTGCCTGAGGATGGGACGGCTGCCTGGCGACCGCATCACTCTCCATCGTGTGGTAGCCGCCGCCGTTTTCGAGCCAGTGTCCTCGGACGGTCCATATCTTCCGCGGCTACCCGCGTCGGCGATGCACGCGCGTGCACGGTTGCCCCTGCGAGCCTACCTGCGGGACACCCGCCTGCTAAGTGGAACCGGAACTGTCCCGGAAGCGAGAACCAAGGCCGGCCACAGAGTGCCCGGCTTCCCCGGCTTCCCGGGCGCGAGGAGTGAGGGGCTCGGGGGCGCCCTGTGCCTGCCTGCCGGAGGGGCTCTCCTCCTGGGTTTCGTTTGCGCGTCTCCCGTTTTAGATTTCAGATTTGCTATTTGACAGTTTCTCCCTCGCTTCTTGGCAATTGGTCTGTTTGGATTCTCCCTTCCCGGATCTTTAGGGTAATTTCTGTTTTCTTAGAAATTCATCCATTTCGTCACGGTTTTCTGCTTTAGGTAGTCGAGGGGGCAGTTTCCTTTGTTCTTCTCTCTCTGTTTGTTCGACTCACCTTCATTGCATGTGCCCCCTGTACCAGGCACCGCCGTTGGCCCTGGGGTTACAGCAGTGGCCAAAACCGATGAAAGCCTGCTTTTATGGAGACTACAGACAAATTTTAAATACTTATTGTAAGATATTCGGCCTGTGAGATGGTGATTGTGCTATGGAGAAGAGCAGTTTGAGAGCAGAGAGGGAGTTTGAGATACAGACACTTTTAAACACATGGCCGGGGGTTTCGCTAAAAGGTGACTTGAAGGAGATGAGGGAGGGAGCCATGGGTTTACGTGGGACAGAGACCGGCGCGTGCCGGTGTGGCCACAGTACCAGTCAGGGTTCTCCAGAGAAACAGAGCCGCGAGGGCATGCACTTATCAAACACGCAAAGAGGTGCGCTATAAGCAATTGGCTCATGCAATCTTGGAGGCCGAGAAACCCCAGATCTTCCATGGGCGAGCCGGGGACAAGTGATGATGCAGCTCCGATCCGATCGAGGACCTGAGACCCAGGAGCGCCAGTGGTGCAAGTTCTAGTCGTTCTTGCTCTGTGACGATTGGGGCTGTGTCGTTTGGTGCATAAGCATTCGTTACTGTTAGCTGTTCATAGTGACTCTCAGTCTGGCTGCTCCCACACACAGCACCCGTCTTCTTCTCATTTAATATTTCTTGCCCTGCCTCCAACTTTGCCTGATACTCAGATTATGACCCCTGATTTTGCTTGGTTTGCGTTTGTTTGTTATGCTTCTGCCCATCCTTTTTTTAAAATTGTGGTAAAATGTGCACAATATAAAATCTATATTAAGCATTTTTAAGTGCACAGTTGGGTGGCATCAAGTACAGTCACGCTGGAGTGCAGCTGTCGCTACATCCACCTCCGTAACGCTTTGGTCACCTGCCCACCTTGTATGTTAAACCTTTCTGAATCACTCTCCCTTCAGTGCATTTCGTTTGTGATCCAGTCTGAGGCTTTTTTCTTGGCAAGTGTGTACGGCTCATTAGCATTTCCTGATTGATACAGCAGATACATTTGGTCTTCATTCTGTCATCGTGGTTTACGATCTGCTTTCTGCTTTGATCGCTTTTGTGGGGGTTGTCAATTTTGACCATATGGTCTTTGTTGTCTTTGTTTTATTTTTTGTATATATGCCTTCTGATAACTTGGAAGGCTGTGTTTTGGCTCCTGTGGTTATCTTCAGAATGACAATGTGATATGATATTCTTAATCCTTTAATTCTTTAGACAAAGTTTATTTTCCCCCTACTACGAATGATGTCAAAATTACAGTCTTTCTGCTTTTCCTCCCCTTGTCTCCCTTGTATCAAATTATTTTAGTTGATTCTATTATTTTTTTCTATTTACCTTTGTGCCTCTAGCTTTACTTAACCTTCTAAACAATTCTTTAGACCCCCGACTGTAAATGAATAAGGCACAGTTTACTTATTGGCTCTGTCTCCTCACCTCCACCTCTCCGGCTTATCGTTATGTAGATCGGGTCTCTGCTTTCTGTTTCCCTCTTTTCTGTAGTCATTACAATCTACAGTCCCACGGTGAAACGGGTGCTGTGCTTGTCCCTCTGGCTGTGCCGGCGTGACCTCACTTACCCCCTGGGTCACCTGAGTGTATCCTCCAGGCATTTACTTAAGAAGGGCTCATGGGAAGTATAATTCAAAAATGTGTCCAACGGATTTTTCTGATAACTTTATGCCAAGAAAGATGGCTCATCCGGGCTTTAAATCCTTGGTTTATTCATTCATTCATTCATTCATTCATTCAACAAATATTTATTAAGCCCCTACTGTGTGCCAGTTACTAGGCCCTGCAATGAGCAAAACACACAACCACCATGGCCCTCGTATAGCTAAATTTCTAGTTGGAAAAACAACTAGAAAGTTACTGGATACAATAAACTGAGCAAACAAGTACAACACGTGGTATGCTGGGTAGAGACGTGTGCTATGGAGAAAAACAAAGCAGGAAGTCGGGGTGACCTGGACCCGGCTTTGTCCCGGGAAGCAGAGGCGAGATGGCCCCAGGCCCCTCTCGCCCTTAGCGCGTGCACCTGTCCCCACCGATGCACAGAGCGGAGGGCTGGCTCTTCCCCTTGGCGCATAACTCGCTTGCAGAGCCCCTCCCTGGACTCCTCTGCTTGCCCTGCTGACGGGCTCAGAAGCTTGGCTGAAGACGGGGTATCAGCTAACGACTGTCGTCAGATGCAAGCAGAGGAAACTCACCCGCCCGCAACGTGGAGATGGGTGGTCCTTCCACCTAAGTCAGGGGGGGTTCTTCACTCTCACGCTTGCAACATGGCTCCTCTTCCCCCGGAGCCACGGCCCCTTCCCAGTAGACTTCCACTCGCTCGGCATTGGCCAGGCCGGTCATGTGACCACCCCTGACTGCAGGGCATTCTGGGAAGGTGAGTCTTTGTGACCGGGCAGTTGCTTCCGTGATGGACACAGGGCAGGGGCTTCACGGTGCCTACCACAGACGGAGTTTGTGTTTCTGTCCCTCCTTGTCTTGTGTGTGACTTGCGTCTGCCAATCAAGCTGTAAGTGGCCTGTTTTCACACCGCTGTTCCCTGCCCCACTGGTCTGGCTCCTTCCTATTCCAGGAGCACCTTGGTTTCTTCTCCATGGCTTTGTAGGACATGGTCGTATCTCGGTGTGCTTCCAAGATACGTATGAATGGCATCTCTGTTTTTAATATTTTTCAGTGTGTTGTAGCAAGGATAACCATATAATTTATCATCCAAATAAGAATACTTTTTGAAAGAAGAACAATATTAAAAATTATGTCAGAACAACAAGTGTTAACTGGGATTATCCCAAGCCAAGATGTATAATCACTCTGGTAATTGGTGAGGTACAAGAACACTGTTGGGTTTTATAAGTTGGTCTGATATCTTACAGATTAAAATTATATCTTTGTCTACATGTTTGTTCTAATCATTACCCTGCTGATTCTGTTAGATTTTCTGTGTAGGCCGGGCGCGGTGGCTCACGCCTGTAATCCTAGCACTCTGGGAGGCCAAGGCGGGCGGATCGCTCAAGGTCAGGAGTTTGAAACCAGCCTGAGCAAGAGCGATACTCTGTCTCTACTATGAATAGAAAGAAATTAATTGGCCACCAAAAAATATAGAGAAAAAATTAGCTAGGCATGGTGGTGCATGCCTGTAGTCCCAGCTACTCGGGAGGCTGAGGCAGGAGGATCGCTTGAGCCTCAGGAGTTTGAGGTTGCTGTGAGCTAGGCTGATGCCACGGCACTCTGGCCTGGGCAACAGAGTGAGTGAGACTCTGTCTCAAAATAAATAAATAAGTAGATTTTCTGTGTAAATTACCTGCAATTAATCGTAATTTTGGTTCTTCTATTCCAGTTCTGATATGATGCTCTGTGCTTTTTTCTTGTCTTATTGCATGGGCTGGGGCTCTAGTACTCTATGGAACCATAATGACAGCAGAGTTTCTTGTCCTGCTTCTGGTCTGACTGTCACATGGTTCACAATGTCCAGATGAGAAAGGCCATGTGCTCAGAGCAAAGCAGTCTTCTCCTGGCACCGAGGCCCAAGAGAAATGTCCCCAGCGGGTTTCCTTGGAGGAGATATTATCTGATATTTTGTTTTCTTCTGTTTCCCCCAGAAAACCCTTTTGCTGTGCCTCAGGATGGGGGAGGTGAGATCCGAAGCGCCCGGCTCGGCCTCCAAGAGGAGCAGCTTCTGCAGAGATGCCAGGGAGGGCTGAGGCGGCGGCGGCGGCGACGGCGGCGGAGGAGGAAAGGCTGCCTGTGCCCAAATCCCCTTCCATGGACTTCTGAGATTGGGAGCAAACTCAGGGGCAGGGACGGGGGTACAGGGGAGGGGGTTCTGAGCCGCCCGTCCACAAGCAATAGTCCTATTTTGGGCCGGTGGCTTCTGGGAGCTGACTCACTGTGAACTTGGGATGACCAACACAAAGCTGCTCTGGCCGGTCTGAGCCAGGAAGATCTAGGCCTGTGAGTCATAGCCGTGGGTCAAAGCCTGGAGCTTCCCTTCCCTCCGCCCCGCCCGTAGTGGCCCCTCGGGCCTGTCCGTGTCGGAATATTGAATGTGCGTGTGTGTGTGTGTGTGCGCACGTGTGCGTGTGTGACTTCGGGTGTTCTTGTTTGGTTGGTTGGTTTTTACTGGGGTCCTCCCCAAGTTCTCTGACGAACACAGGTCACCGTGGGGCTGGGGGTTCTTGCCAGGGCCGGTGCCCAGGGCCCGAGCCTCTCGCTGCTGCCGGCAGCCGCGACCCAGGCGGGGTTGGCTGAGCACAGGGTACAGCCCCGCTGCGTCTCGGGGGCACTGGGGGTTCGGGGATGCCGGTCGGGGCTGGGTCTTACGGAATTCGCTCCCGTCAACAGCAGTAACAATGAGCGATGACAAGGGACACGTCTCAGGCCGGCCGCGGCCCCGGGCTGGACGATCTCACGCACACCCTTTCTCACCGCCTGGGAAGTGGGTGTGATCCGCCCCTGCAGAAATAGCTCACAGAGGGGAGCAAGGCCCACGGCCACACAGCCGGGGGAGGCAGGCTCGCCTGAGGGTGCAGGAACCAAAGGCCCAGGCTCCCACTCCCTGGACGCGACGTGCTCCCCGGCCAGGCCACACCCAGCACGGCCCCCGGAGCACCCCCCATGCCTTCTCAAGGGCGGGCCCCGGGCTCCCCACCTTCACTGCCGGAACCCTCGCCCGCCCCGCACACTCTGGCTGAGCTTCACCTGCTGCGCCAGGTGCCGTGCTGGGCGGTGAGTGACGGGGGCGAGAGATGAGCCAGACCTGGCCTCTGCCCCCGGGGAGCTCCCCACCGGGTGGGAGAGACAAACACATGAGTCGTTGCCAGGAAGGCTGATGAAACCCAGAGGAGGGGAAGGTTCTAGAAATCCATCCGCTTTGAGGTGGGACTTCCAGGTAAACCTGGGCGCCCGTAAGATCCGCCCACGGAGCTCACCGCCTCTTCCGCCCGCCTGCTGCCCCGGGGCGCACGGGAGGACATCACCTACAAGACCCCCGCGTAAGTCCCCGAGGGCCACGCTGCCAGCCCACACACGCCACCCTGCTAGCGTCAGTGGTACCAGAATCTCCCACCGCCCGTAGCCTGGGGGCCCGTCCCCTCTGACCCTGTACCCTCCCGCAGTCAGACCCAGCGTTCCCGCACAGTCTGTCCACCCACGCACGAGGCGCCGCGGAGAGCCAGGCCGGCCCTGCTCCTGGTGCGGCCTTGCATCTGGGGAGGGGGCGGAGGAGGAAGGCGGTGAGCGCTCTGCCGCCGCGGTGCCGAGGTAGTGAGGGCCTGCGGAGCGGGCTGGTCTGGGAAGCCCTTCTGAGCGGTGATAGTTAAGCCCAGGTCTACGCAGCAAGCAGGAGCCAGCCAGGGTGTCACAGCAGGGAGGAGAGCGCCCCAGGTGGAGGAACGGCCCGTGCAAAGGCCCTGAGGCAGCAACGGGCTTGGTGGTCTCAAAGGCCCAGAGGCAGAGCAGAAGGAGGCGACAGTGAGTCACCGTCATGCTGAGCAAATACAGGGCCACCTCTGAAAAGCAGAGCAAACTTTCAGGGACGCAAAGCATGTTCCATGCCTCCTGGCTTTGCAACAGCCCCGTAGAGAAAGACTCTCCCATTTTACAGACTAGGGGACTGAGGCTCAGCTGGGTCAAGTGGCTCGCCCAAGGTCACACTGAAGGTCACACAGGCTGGCTATGGAAGACCCGCGTGGCTTCAGTCTTTGGTCCCAGCATCTCCTCTGTGTAGACAGCACTGGTGGAGTCAAAGCAGGAGATGTTTGCTCAGGGTCGTGACCAGGTGTAGACGTGGTGTCCTTCCCTTGGATACCAGGTCCTCCCAGGACATGCCAGGGCCTTGTTGCCACGGGCATGCCCAGCTGGCCAGTGAGCCCCGCTGGATCAGCCCGTGCCTGCAGCCCACACGCAGGCCTCAGGAGTCAGAGGAAGCCCAGGGCAGGGGCACGAGACCCAGGTTCCGACACCAGTTCTGCCATCAGGAGCAGGTTGACCTCGGGCAAGGCCGTGCCCTCAGCGCCACCCTTTCCCCCATCAGTAAGGGGAAGGAGCCAGGTCAGGACTTTAAGGGCTTGCAGCCCTGGCGTCCTGACACTCTGGGGGCTCACACAGCTGCTCACAGAGAGGTGTCCCCGCTCCAGAGAAGGAGCTGTGGCCAAGTGACAATTAGGGCTGGGAGTCTCCTGATTTGCATCCCCTGAGAGTTGCCACCTTAGGGAGGACACTCCTCCCAGCCCCGCAGGCCTTTTCAGGAATAGATGAAAATTCTCATGGTCTGTTGTCCTGCTGCTCTGCCGGCTCCCTGTCGGGGGCTGGGCCAGGGACTGGAAGGTTCTGCGGTGGGCAGGAGGCCTCACATCCGTGTGGCTCGGCGGAGATCGCAGGGGACCGAGCAGGCAGCCTGTGGCGAAGGCAGGTCCAGAGACGGGGCCCCGGCACCGCCCCTTCCAGCGGGGTGACCTCGAAGGTACCCTGGCCCCTCGGCCTTGTTTCTCACCCGGCGAGTGTGCAGGCGGGTGCTGGGTGGTCACAGCCCTGGCCGTGTCCGGGGCTGGCGCGGCGTGCAGAGCAGGCGTGTGCAGTCCAGTCCCTTGGTGGCGTCAGGGCTCCTCGAAACCCCCAGGATCCCAGGTCTTCACAGGGAAACCCTGCCCCCGCCCCGCGTGGCTGCCGGCGAGCAGAGCGCCCCTAGAGCAAGATGCAGGGTAGTGGCGAATGCAAGTACAGATTTATAGAGTTGTTTTTTTTAGTGACTCCCAAATCTAATTTTTTAAGCCGCCTACTTTTACTTTTTACTGTGAGCTTGTGTCTATCACTACATAATTTTTAATAATAATAACACAAAAAGGAAAACAAAAAGAAGAGAGAGAAGGTAGCAGCACTCCGTGTTGGGGAGGAATGTGTATCCCATGCTGGTGCGTGGCTACCACGTGTGTACGGATGTTTCCCACTGGGAACGGCGTGATTACCGAGCAGTTTTATGCTTCCCGCGTGTCTGTGTGTGGGGTGACTGCCGTGTGCGTGGGAGCTCTCGCCAGGGTCAGGAGCTGGGAGGACCTGCGGCCTCGGCCTCTGGGACTGCCCGGGCCCTAGAGAAGCGGCCTGCCCACCCGCCCCGCCGGGACCCTCCAGCCACCAGGCCAGCACCTGCCCGTGACCACTGCCAATGTGCAACAGGCCTTAATTGAAAACACGCATGCACACACATGCACACACACATTTGAGCACATGTACGCACATATACAGCTGCACGCATGCATATACTCGTGTGCGTGCACAAGTGCACGGACATGCCCACCCCCACACACAAACATGCATACATGCACACACATGTGCACAGTGCAACCACACACACATGCGCACATACATGTGATTTTGCAGGTAGATCTGGCCCCTCTTGCTGTCTCCCATGCTCCAGAAAGCAGAAGTAGGCAGCACACAGTGTTCTTCAGCGGGTGGCATTTCCCCTCAGTGTCAGAAAAAGTCGGGCACATTTGGCCCCAGGTCTGAAAAGAAGGGCTTGCCCGCAGAAGCCGGGTCCGGCTCCAGCCCTTTCGTCCCCACAGCCACTGCCCCCGCCCAGGCCCCTCCCCCGGCACGCTGGCTCGCTGTCTGCTAGAGGGCCAGCCACACAAGAAGACAAGGGTCCCGGAGGTGCAGACCTTTACATTTTTCACCGGCTTATTTTAATTTTTCAACTTGGCTAACTGGTCCCCACTGGCAGGAAGAGCCTCTGGAAGTGAATTTGCACGCGCCCCCAACAATCCAGACCGACAGGCAGCCCGAGTGGCGTCACCGGGGGCCTCTCTGGCAAATAGTGAATAAGCACGTCACCACGGGGAGATGCCACGTGGCCCCTCTCTCGTCTGCTGCGAAGATCGGGGGCTGCACGGGGAGAGCAAACCGCGGGGAGTCTCAATCCTGCCCCCCACCCGGCCACAGCCCGAGGGGCAGTGAGTGGTCATGCCCCTGCGGTCCCGGATACGTGTGTCGCTGGGCCGGGTTGTGCCCTGCGCCCTCCGGAAGACAGCCCGGCACTTACGCTGTGCGGGCGCCACGCGGGCCCCAGTCCCTGCGTGTAGTGCAGACACGTGACGAGACGTGGCCGTGAATGTCACAGCCCTGGGGGCCATGGTCTGAGAACGCAGCTGCTGAAGTTGGACAGTCAGGTGAGCTAGAAAGGTCAGGGCCACGCTAGAAAGTCTGTACCGTCTTGAAGGTGTCACTCACCTGCATGACAGGTGTCTGCCGGGCACCTGCCGTGGCCTGGCTCCGTGCCCGGTGCCCGTGTGGGAGCCATCCCCACTGGAGTCAGGTCTCCTGTGAAATGCCTAGTTGTGCCCAGCAATCCCCAGTGCTCAGAGCCGCAAAATGAATAGGGAACGCCGGCCTATGCCACCCACGGACGTGATCTCGGAGGCGGCGTTGCTCCAGCCCGCCCAGTTTCCAGTCCAGACCCTGCCCGACAGCTGGTGCTAGATAGATGCTTGTTGAGTGAACGCTTTGTCCCTCTGTACCTAAAACTCCTGTCTTCACATCAAAGCCCTGCCCAACTTGCCCTCAACAGCCTGAACTTCAGGGCTGCTGCAGTGCCCACCTCGCGGAGGCACCCCTCGAAACACTGTCACGTGAGGGGGAACGGGCTACAGGGACCCACTCACATGGACCACGCTGAGCACGGCGACCCCCGGCTTTGCGCAGTGAGGCGCCTGCCGGATTGCGCCAGACCATCCTCCAGAACGTGCAGGGTCCCCTTGCCGTCAGAGCCGAACCCGAGCCTGGGACCAAAAACTACGGATTGCACGGCCGCCCTGGGCACCCAGTGTGGCCTCAGCTGGAGCCGTGCTGGCGGCCCCAGGGCGCCTCTCGTTGGCATGGCAGCCCCGCTTCCCACGCCCGGTCTCCTGTTTGCTCCCGCGTCTGAGAGCCAGTGGGCGTGGCAGTCACAGCCAACCAGGCAGCACTGGGGGTGCGTGGAGACGGCAAGGGCGAGGGGCTCAGCCACCTTAGCGAGGTGGGAAACGGCCTGCAAAAGCCAGTGTGTCCTCCCCAGGGTCAGCCGGACGGGCCGCGGCCACGAGGGCAGAAACTCTCTCTCCCTGAATCCGACTTCACGAGAGCAGGCGTGGGGTCTGAGCTGGCGAGCGGGAAAACCAAAAACCAATAATACTCCCAATATTATAACGATACGATGTAACGATAATGTGCTCTACACTGACCACTGTTGCTCCGCTTCTGTCTTTATACACAGTAGTTTTTATAAAGATGTCCTTAGGTTTTAATAAAGGAGTGTCATGTCAACTGTTCCCCGCGCTGAGTTTGCCTGAATGTGTCAAAATGCACCTGTGGGAGCCTGTGCCCGTGTGGTCTGTCACTCTCTGCTGGGGAGGGCGGAGGGGCGGGGGCCAGGTGGAGGGCGGAGGGTGGCGTGGGGGGGAGCTGGTCACGCAGAGACCTGGAGGTGCAATGCCAAGGGCGGATGGAGAGCCCAGGCGGGCCCCATGTCTGAGGGGCGAGAGCGAGGTCAGCGAGGAGAGACAGCCCAGGCCCAGCCCTGGCCCCAGACGGACAGAGCTGATCCACCTGGCAGGCCGGGGACGGCAGCCAGGGACGGCCACACCATCAGTGGCCCCTGAGGCGTGCCAGGTACCTCCTGTCTGTTATCTCGTTGAACCCGGGGTGGGAGCAGGACCCTGGGGTGTTGGTCAACACCTGCCTGGACGGGCAGTCACTGAATGGCCGCGCCTGACTCCAGCCAGCAGGCACGGGAGAGGGACCAGCCACCTGACCAGGCCGGCCCTACTGGGCACATGCACTCAGAAGGGGTGTGCCCCCCATGACTGCGCCCCACGGCACCACGCCGCCCCGCTTCCTGCACAGGTCTCCACCCCTTAACAGTCTGGCCTGAGCGGCACCCTCCTTGAGCACAGGGCCCGGGTCCTGCCCGGCCCCGAGCTTCCACCTCGAACCTGTGGGAAGGTCTTCCTCCTGCTGCACAGACGTGAGCTCCAGGGGCCTCTCGAGGGGTCCGGCTCTCTGCAGCCCTCCTGGCCAGCTTCAGGGCTGGGGCAGGAAAAGGGTCAGACAAGGGCAGTGGCAGGATTGGGTGTCGCTGTTTTGCGGCGGGCACTTTCTCGGCCTGTTGAGGCTTCTTTGGAGAGCCAGGTGGGGGTCTTCCCATGCCCACCCCCCAGGCAAGGACACAGCCAATTGCACACAGATGCATGTGCACACCCACGCTTGCACTCATGTGTACACACTCCCACACGCACACATGCACACAGGGTTGTGCGGTCTTGCCACCAACCACCCGGCAGCCTCTCCCTGCAGAGACCCCACCCTCCCAAGTGGCTCCCTGGGGCGGGCACCAGCAGGCCCGGCCACCTCCTGCAGCCAGACACCTCCTCGCTTGACCCAGAGGTGCAAGGGCCTGGCCGCCCCGACTCCCTCAGCCCCTGGCACTGTCCGGCTGTCCCCATCCTCTGCTCAGGGGCAGGGAGCAGGGCTGCAAGCCACCAGCCGGGCAGACCACCCAGGACGGGAGGGCAGTGCCGGGGCCTCTCTTGCTGAGCACGCCTCACGTCTTCGTGAGCCGTTTTCTCGAATCCCCTCCCCACCCGCACACTTGGGGGGTGTGTTTTCAGGTGATGGCGGGCCAGCTGGAAACACGGGACAAAATAGTTTTTAAACATCTGCTTGAAGGCCTGGAAGAGCTAACAAAATAGTGAGGAATTACGAGTTCAAGGTCTGGAGGAGAACAGGAAGAAAGACGAGGTGGCACTCGGGGCTGCTTTTCCCCTGGGGGACTGACTGCTTCTGAAAGAGGAGGCTGAGAGGATGAACCGGGGTTTTCCAGTGGGGGCTCAGGGGGTGTTTTCTTCCAAGAGCTTTATAGTTTGGGCTCTTACATTGTATCGATGGCAATACCCTAGTTGCGATATTTGTAGTAGCTTTGCAAAATGATATGATTGAGGGAAACCGAGTAAAAGGATAGCTCCTCACTACTTCTTACAACTTCATGTGAAGATACAATTATCTCAAAATGGAAAGCTTTCATTTTAACAAGCGGATTAGGCACAGCCAAAGAGTGAATTAATACACCTGAAGATATGTCAAAAGAAAGCATCCAGAATGAAGAGCAGAGAGGTGAAAGGATGAAAGACACAGAAAAGCACTTGGCAGTCTTAGGAGACATGCAACTGAAATGGGCTTGTGCATCCGGAAGGGGATGTAAAAGAGAATGGGGAAGAAATACTATTTGAAGGGATACAAGGCTAGGCATTTGCCACAACTAATGAAAGACATCAAACCACAGATTCCAGAAGCCCTACTCAACTAAAGCAGAAGACAAAGAGAGAATCTTAAAAGCAACCAGAAAAGAAGTTAAGGTCAGGGTGGAGATTACCTTCAAAGGAGCACACTTAGACAGGCTGCAAACTGCAACAAAAGTAGTGGAAACAAAAAAAAAAATGTTTTAAAAAGTAGTGGAAATAAGAAGACAATATAATAATATTTTTGATGTGCTAAAAGAAAGTAACTGCCGAGATGGAATTCTAAATCCAGCAAAGCACAGCACGATGGCAGCTGGCTTGAGACTCTTTGGATCTTTCTAATGTGTTTCATCCTAAGGTGGTTTGGACCTCGTTGCTCCATGGCATTCTGAATCCTGCATGGAGTTATTTGACGTCGGGAAGCAGTCAGCTTCCCAACCTCACTAAGCCCTGAATTTCTGAAACTTCTCTATACCCTGTATTGCTGCGTGTGAACTACCCGCTTCTCTCCTGAGTTTGTGTCTTTCTTGCAAGACCTTGTTGAACAGTCAACAGCCAAGGTCCATTCCTGACACCCTGCTTTCTTCCCTCTTGTGTTAGCACTGCAATGCAACAGGCTGCAAGCTGATGCAGGTGCCCGTTTGACCAAACATATCATTCATAGCACAGACGCCAACCCGGCCTCCAGTACCCACGGTGTGCTTGACACCCACTGCCAGCCACTGGGCTCATGCTGTATATTTCAGCTTTTTGACACAGCAGAACCAGTGATTAGTCAGGACAGGATGAGCTACGCTGGGGTGACAATGAAGCCTTGTTTATTGCTCATGCAAAGACGGTGCGATCCCGCAATGTGCCAGGGATGCTCTGCTCCATAAACCGACTCAGGGATCCACTGCGTTTGTCTTGTGCATCCATGATTTTAACATAGACCCTTCCTGTAGTGAAGGCCACAGAAAGGGTAATAGAGACAGGAGTCACACTCAAGTACCTCATCCCAGAGATGATATTATACATTGCCTTCCTGCAAAGCCCCAAATGAAAACATACAACGAAAACATTGTTATCAATCAATATGTCATTGCACGGGTATAGACAAATAGATTCAAACATAAAAATATGTGTGAGTATCTATAATAATTTAGCATGACAAAAAGCAGCATTTCAATACAGTGGGGAATCATTAATACACAGTAATTATTATATTTCACTAAACCACGCATATTTAACAAATTATGCTGGCTTAACTAGCTGCTGATCCAGAAAAATATAAAATCGGACCCGTATTTTAGCTAGATACAAAAACTAACTTCGTATTAAAGACGTAAACAGAACAACAAAAAGTCAGCAAGAAACCCTAAAGTTTGCACGAACACTCTCCACGCAGGGAAACGTTCCCGACCAAGACCAGACACCAGAAGCTGCAAAAGGAACGACAAACATCTGGTAATGCCAAAATTAACTCTCATCTGACAAAAAGACGACACAAAATCAGTCTGTAAACAAGATTTGGGACAGCGACCACATACGAGGCTTTTATCTAATACACAGAGACCATGCAATAAACAACCCAACGGACGAAGAAAAGGCGAGTTGCAGAATGCATCCGACCAGCACCAGACGCGTGGGAAGACCTCTGGGCGACCTGGGAGGAGAGAGGGGAGCGACCTGGGACGATGAGGCGACACTGTACACCTGTCCAGCTGCAAAACGTAAACCCACAGATCCGCTGCCGGCATCTGTGTGAGACAAGGGCGCGGGCCACTGCTGCAGATGAGAATGGTAACCTCTGCCGCCGCGATCCGAAAATATCTATTCCAGTTAAAAATGCATGTGCCCTGTGACTCAGCACGGATGCAGTGGAGTTCCACGCTGGAGTGGGAGCGAAGCGAGCCTTACGAACAGGGAACGGAGTGAGTGTTGTGCACTGGGAAAATCCAGGTATATATGCACACACACACGTGCCTGCTTTTGCTATAAAATTTATTAACAAAGGGTGTGTGGCACAGAGCTTGCAAAAATTAATAAAATATATAATACTCTTTAGGATGAGATTTATACAGTCAACAACTGATTCTCACAGAATGCTTTTGTTGATGTTTGCCAAAGTGGTGTAGCTGCAGCCAACTGGTGGACATGTAAAGTCCGACACGAATGTTCATTGATTGTTTTCGTTTTTGTTAACGAGGAGGATGAAGGAGAGCCAAAGAGGACGCTGGAACTCCACTCATGGGTCAAGAGTGTGGGTGACCTCTTTGCTGAATTGGACAACTGTTTGCAAATCCTGGAAGAATATTTCTCAACTGTTTGTGCAGCTCACCATGCAGCTAGCTACAGACACGAGGCTTTTAAGTGGCATTGGCATTAGCAGCATTGTCTCCATCACTTGTACAGTCTAGACAATGGACAAAACAGCAAGTCGAGTCCTGATTTGTGGTGTTTGCCAGTTTCCACAGTGCGTGTGCTTTGACTGTGGCCAACCTTGTCTACCTGGTGACTCTGAACTCAGCCTTGGGAGGAGGAGGCCCACAGAGCACACCGTTTATGTGGATTTTACAACGACTACACATCACTTCTAGAGCATCAACAAGAGTAAAATGAGGTAAGATCACTAGGAAGTGATTACTCCGAGTATTTATTGCCTTTGTTCTTAATATAATGTTTTTAATTAGAAGTTTATATAATTTAATTTTGTCGCTGGCTGCACTTAACAACAGACTCGCAAAAATTCCTGAAAAATTAACAATAGAGTCTCACCAGCCAGTATGTGCTGGCTCCAGCACACCCCTGGGAGTGGTTGGTGAACATGGAACGGCCACACCGCGGAATTTTATGCAACTATTTAAAAGAATGAATTGGAGCTCTACAGGGGATTTGGAGGGATTTTCACAAAGAATTATTAAAAAAGAAAAGCAAAATATAGAATAAGAGACTATGATATTAATTACATTTTTGTAACATAATGCCCCCACCCCAAAAAAACCCTCCCTATATGTGTCTGCACACATTAATAAATGGTTGCATAAATATTCCGAA